AGTCGGAGTCGGAGTCGTTACTTTTTTTTTGCGATTCCACACCCCTGATTTAAACAACAGCATATAAGTTTATCCATTTTCAAATTTATAATAGTTAATATAACTCACATTGTTTACAATATAAGAACTTACAATTAGGTGTTGAAAAGAATTCAATTGCTGCGGTTATGAAGCATTCTCATGCTCTAGAAAAGTTTTACGGTTACAAAAAAAATGCTTTTTTAAATGGAAAGGAACTTGAAAACTCAATTATATGTGTTAATGTAAATAATCATATATGTGAAGTGACTTCTGTCACTTTACATATATGATTATTGACATTAACACATATAATTGTTGACATTCTTACTGTCATTGAAGGCCTGAAACCCTTTTTCGACAAAAATACAGTAATGTGGCATGGGTATAATAGTGTACCAATATATCAGTGTACCAAATCTGTTGAATATTTCAGCGTTTAATGATTAAAAACTTACATAGTTTGAGCCATCCTTAATTTGAGGAGGATACAAATTTTATAGGGTCATAATTTTTGAACCCTGAGAAATTATATAATTAAATTTAAAATATACTGATAAATATAAGTCTAGTTGAAAAAAGTACAAAAAGTATTTTATCAACTTGTTGCTTCAACGTTTTGGGCAGGAGGGGGGCTAAAATTTGTGTTTTTTTTTGTGCTCAGGCTCCAATTATTGCGATTTTTTGCAAAGCAATCTTATTTGACTTAATTATAAATATAAATGTTTGGAGTTCGCTCTATGTCTGGAAGTTATCTATCTCAAACACAAAAAAATATTGTTTGTCTTTAGTGTCAAGCCTTTACTTAAAGAAATAAATGCTTTTATTTGCATTACAAACAATATATTTTTATTTGTGTTTAGTTGAACAAACGTTTAAAGCATTTGCTTTAAACGTGTGTCTATGACACTCCCCCCCCCACCCACCCCTCTTTTCCTCGATCATTGAATTTTATACCGTTATTTGGCTCGGATATATATATATATATATATATATATATATATATATATATATATATATATATATATATATATATATATATATATATATACCATACTCTTGCTTGATGACAATACAATATTTAGTTTTGTAATAAGTCAAATAATTTAGTTAATTTTTAATAAATTTATTTTTTATATGAAAAAAAGAATAAAAATTTTATAAATAAGTATAATAATTGTTTACTTATACGAGCGATTAGCATAATTGGAGAAGGCGTTAACTTCCTAAACGGAATGTCTAAGGATCATAAATCTTTTGTTTTTTTACAGCCGAATGTTAATAAAATAAAACAGTAATATCAGAAAAAATTGATTTCAAAATTTGTGTTTTAATAACATATAAAAGCATTGGGTTTTAAAAATTCGTTTTAAAATATTTTCTTGTTTTAAGTTCAGTCAAAAAATGGGAACTTGCATAAGAAAATCGTGAAGCTTCAAAATTTAAGCTATTCTTGAAAAATTCTGTATGAATGAAAGGCGTTTTGACAGAGTTAATTTCGTAATATGTTTTATTTAAACAGTTTTTTGCATTGTGCTTCTATAAAAATTAAAGCATATTTAAATTTAATGATAATGAAAAAATACATAACTCATTTAAAATACAAGAAAAATGCGCACTCAATCACAACAATAACATAACCAGCTTAAAGTTGGTAATATTTAAATGTAATATTTAAAATATTACTCTATATGTACCTAGGGGGCATCCATAAAGGACGTCACTATTTTTTAGGCATTTTTTGACCCCCTCCCCCCAGGCATTTTTATTGACATTTTTTACATGTGAATTACATTTTTCTCTGTTTAAATATTATTCAGGATTAGGATTAGGTATTTCCATGTATGTTTTTGCTCCTTTGCCTTTCTGAAAAAGAAAAAAAAAATTATTTATTATTTTAGTCTTATTCTATATATTAAATTTAATCAAAGTTTGTCATGAGAACTTGCCTCACGCATCATCCATCCAAGGATTTTTTAAATAATCATCAATTGATATGATTGGAATAGAGCATTCGGGTTCGCCTAAAATAGTTGAATCATTCGGAATATGTAGGCCCTCCGTTTCGATTTCGTCCTCATCGAACCATTCAGCAAAGGCCGCGTTCTCCTCTATTGCAATTAACTCTCTTTTGCGCTTGGCGGCAATGCGAACAGGCCTGATTTGCGAAAAAGTAGTAGCCATTTGGTTAATAACGTTAGAATGAGTAACGCTGACATGCTTTTTGAGCATGACTTGGGAGGCAAAGTACAAGTTACAATGCTTGCAGATTCTCTAAGACAAACTTGATTGCACAGAGGGACAGAACAGACCGTAAGGAAGAAGTTTGAATGATTTCAATGATCGAGGAATGGTGCTCTGAATATTGGAAGCGATAAGAAAAAATACAGAAGGAAAACGGTTCTTGCTGGCAACATCTGAAATGGCTACAGCTATCAAGCCATCTTCTGACTGGCTAATTGGAATAGGTGGAGGCAGAAATCGACCAGGAAAAACATGGAAGTAAGAGCTCCTTTTCAAAGCGCAACATCCGGGATCTTCACATTTCACAATTTGCGTGAAATATTGACTGGTGCGCACGTGAGAGGCAAACCAGTCCTGATCCTTTGATAAGAGATGATGAACATCGAGCTCCGTCTTGTTGTCTGGATCGATATACTCGGCCACCGTTGGAAACTGATCAATCATCAGACCTGAAAAGACCGAGGCATAGCTATTTCCAGCAAATTTAAAGTTCTGTTTCTCCAAAAGAAGATCCACTGTCCTGCCTTAAATATAAGCCGCATGGCATATAATTATTTCTTTAAGCCTTGTATACATTTGTATTTTGATAAAGAGTTGATATTAAAAATGAACTTGAATACCTTTAGAGTCTAGATGAGTTCCATAATGATCATGAGGTAAGATCAATCCCGCCAACTCTTTACTCAGTGGAGCCATCCTTCTTTCGGCTCGATTGAAAGCACTCCGTCCTGGCGCATTCGTCATGATGAATAAGGCATCCAATTCATTTGTAAGGAAATGATGTATTGCTGTAAACAAAATAAATATTTAAATTAGAAGAAACATAGTTATATTGATAGATCGCAATAAAAAACTTGAAAAAGAAGGATATACCAATTTCGATGACTTTAGCGTATCGTGGATTTTCATCTGGTCCACCATCAACACTGAAGACAACTACTGGCTTGACCAACTTGGTCAAAGGATCTTTTGTAATAGAATCAAATTCTGGCAGAGTCAAAAATCGTTCAAAGTCCAATTCGTGAGCATTCGCTGTCGATGATGAATGCTTTCCGGAACGAATAGCAACATAAGTGGGACCGGAATAGGAAACTGCGTCAGATTTTCCAAGCCCATCTGGTTTGATTGCGATACCTGCGTATACGGACGGGATGAGTTTGTGCTTTGCAGCAATGACCCAATCATGATCAGGAAGAGAAACTCGATATTCCATATGTATCAATATAGGAGCTTGTTTGTTGGCAGCAGTGATTCCTATAGGGACCCGAGCTTTATCGTCTTGACTTATAAAACACACATCCTTTGGGCCCAAAAAAGAGCAAACTTCGTCCAACGATTTAAGGCTCCTTAAAAGTAATTAAAAAAAAAATATCATTAAATAGAGCACAGTGTTTAGAGGCTGAAAAGTTATAATGAGACCTAATAAAGTCAAATAGAATTTTTTTATTAGCTAAAATTGTACCCTATAGACTTCAGATTGTCTTTTATCGTGGGCAGCAGATCCATGTTCAGCAAGTTGTATGATGACACGCAATATCTCAGATTGTTCTACCTCAATAGTAGGGCGACCGATTCAATAGGTATCAACGATATCTATCGGCTCAATAAGTTGATCTGTATTGGAACTCTAAAGTGGAATAACTGGAATGGGAAGGAACAGATCGCTTGGTTGTTTGATTGGCCCAAAATGACATTAAAGAACCTTTTTGTTTTAATACCATTGAGGTAAACTTTTAGATCAAAGTCTTTACTTGATCCTCCAAATCTTTCTTTTCTTTGATCTCATTCCATATTTTATGGACTTTTTTTTGACTATCGGCTTTTTTCTTAAACGGATGAGCATTATTGTACGATTTTATAAGCGAATTTAGAAGACTACTTTTATCCATCCTTTGATATACAGACAACAATGTTGTTTGACACTTTTGCCACACATTGAAAAAATAACAAAAAAATATGCTCTATGTAATGATTGTTGCATAACCAATTCCCTTAGGACAACCATTTGTAATATTCGCTTTAGACAATCATTAATAATTGCTACACAAGCAATTCCCTTCAGACAAATATTTGTAAAACTCTATTTAAAAATCAAAAATGATATCAATACTATGTCCTTGGGGACGAATTTTGCAAAAAGAATTTGAACAAAAACCCATAGCGCGTAACAGTGATATATGTGATACGAGAAACTACCAAGTGTTTAGCAATATATAATTAATTGTAATATATTTATATCGTATCACATATATCACAGGTATATAAACTTTATACATAAAAAAATAATATTTAAATAAATATCAACACGAATTTCTTTCTTTTATTACAACGTAACATTCACTTACGATAACTTTAGAAAAACAAATGTAAACATAATACGTAAAATAAAATAATTCTATAAAGTGACGTCCTTTTCTGATGACCCCCCCTCCTCCCCCTTGTCCTTCTTTGTCCTTTAAATCTTGACCCCCTCCCCCCCTTACTATTTGCATGACGTCATATATGGATGGTCCCTTAATTCAATGATAAAAAATATATAACTCATTTAAAATACAAGAAAAATACGCACTCAATCGCAACAGTAATATAACCAACTTAAAGTTGATAATATTTAGAATATATTTAGTATAGAATAATATAACCAACTTAAAGTTGGTAATATTTAGAATATATTAAGCATAAGTTATTTTTAATTTCATTAACCTTAATTACGTTTTTAAGAATTAAATATAAAAACCTAGTTCTGCCCGGGCTCGAACCGGGGACCTTTCGCGTGTAAAGCGAACGTGATAACCACTACACTACAGAACTCGTGTTGAATATCAATTATATTATAGTATATTTAAATCTATAACTAAATTTGTAACACATGATGGAAAAGTTTTTAAAATGTTCAAAAAAAAAAATTTTTTTTTTGATATCAATTTTTAAAACAATTTTTAGGCATTTTTGCAAAACTAGATATTATATCAAGTTTTACAAAAATACTTATTATTTTTTTATTTCATTTTCAACTTAAAAAATTACTTATAAAATTTATCAACTTATAAAATACACTTCAGAGTAAAGATCGGTGCCGGATCAAGGGGGAAGGGGGGACTAGGGGGGCTATAGCCCCGGGCCCCGCAAATTTAGGAGGTCGCCAAAAATTTTAGAGAAATACATTTTTTTTTAGTCATTTTTAGGCTCTGGCCGATCAAAAGACCTCCAAAAAAAATAGCCCCGGGCCCCAAGAAGTCTTAATCCGCCACCATCTCCAACACGTCCCTGGTAGTACCGCGCTTAACTTGTTTCTCTTAGCAGCAACAATCTTCATATTGGTTCATGTTTCGTAGTTATAGAGTTGAGAGAGGGTTGTAAATCCAATTAAGTAGCCTCCTCGTATGCGGTGGCCTTTTCGGTCTTAGGGAGGTGAATTAACAAAAAAAAAAAAAAAAAGAAATACTCTAAAGTTAAAGATATGTTGAAGAGATATTTTCATATTTGGGATATACGGAAACAGTTTATTTTTATAAACATAATTTTTGAAATAAAATTATAAATTTTGTATTAGTAATAGTAGTAGTAGAAAAATGCTGCAACAGGTTTCCCTGTATAACCTAGAGGTTATGACAATCTTATCTACTATATACTCTTATTTTATTTATGCCATTATATCAAAATTTACCTGGACATTAAGTATGAAGTATAAGTTTTTTTTTCTTTTATTTTTTACAGTTATAATCTCGATACTCATGCGGATTATTTGAAATTTCCGCATCGAGCTGAGCATTGCAATGCTCATCTAATAGTTTCATGAAACTGTTAGAAGATGAAGCGCATACAACTTCATACAACTTCTGACGGCAATGCATTTCAATGCTTCGCTATTCGATTTGTAAAAAACTGGTGTCTTTGATCGAAGTTTTAAACAAATTCTCTAGTCATTTTTAGAAGTCCTCTAGTTTTTAGTTAATTTGACACTCCAACACTAATGGCATGGGGTTCACTCCATGAGACAATGTCTAAATTGTTAATAACTTTATACGGTAAAACCATATGCCTCGAGTTTGTGAATTAGTCTCTGGAGGGGAACCACATCGAACGCTTTACTGAAGTCAATAAAAGCAACGTCCATAGATACTTTGTCAGATAATGCTTTTGACATCACGTCAATCAACTAAATATATTAATTTCTAAGCTATGAGTAACTCTGTGCTATGGGTATAATATATAAGCTAAGGGTAATTCATGCATGTGTAAACCTTGACTTAGTCACTGTTCGTTAGAACATGCTTTTTTTATTAGTATTTTTTCTATGTATATGTCTCTTTCATCAAATATTTTTTTTTGACATACAAAAAAAAATGAAATAAAAAGGTCCTCAATATTTGACATTTGCCAACTATACTTCAAAACTTGCCAACTGAAATGCTAAGTGTACAAATGTGCTAACTCAAATGTATATACAACAGCTTGGTGGGACGAGAAAACCCCCTACACCCCCCGTTCGGGATAACCCTGGTCGGCCCTGAACGTAACAACCACTCTAACAGAAATGAAAATTAATTTTTTATTTTTTTTGTTTATTTATTAAAAGCTATTAATGTCTGGAATAAACTAATTTCAACTATTCTATTCCAGAAACAATTATTCCAGTAAGTTAATTCCAGAAATAACTTTCATTTTGGTTAGATTGGTTTTTAATAACAACCACGCTGAATAAAAGAAGCCAAAGTATAAAACTTAGAACAAATTTGCAAAATGCAGAGCCATTTCCAAAGCAAGATCAATTGATTAAAAACAATAAACCAAAGCAAGAACAATAAATTTTCTTTAAAAATCAGACGGGCTTTTAAAAAATATTTTTTAGATAACATTAAGATTAATTAAAAAAAAAAATTAAAGTTAAAAATGTAAAAGTACTTAATTAAAAAAAAAAATTTATAACTTTTTATAATCACAACAGTCGCTTATTTTAATTTGTTTAATATAGCGAATTTAGTAGGCGGTTCAAAAAAGCATTTTTAAATTTAAAATTATATGGTCGATTGTGAAGAAAATCGACTTGATGTTATTTCATCATGTAGATGAAATAACATCAAATTATTTTTTTTCAGTAAATTTTTGTTACTATTTTTACTTTAAGTTTTCAAACATTTAAAGTAAAAAAGTTAACAAAAGTGTAAATCATCAAATTTAAAATCAGGCCCGTAGCAAGCTTTTTTGTTTTTGATTGAGAATTTAACTTTATATAACGACATGGAACAAACTCCAAACATTTATATATTCATGTTTATGTAAAGTTTTTCAAAAGAGTGAATAAGAGGTATTTTCTCAAAGATTATAACTTTTTTCATCTTGAAAATGTTATCATTTTATGTGCTCATATATCAGCCATTTTTATTTATAGTTGTTACCGCATTATTTTTGACTACCAGTTTTTGGTAGTTATTTTTTGTTTTTAGCTAACTAAAGTAAATTTTCTTACCTTCTTTATTTTTGTTATGGAGATCATGGTTGAATTAATTTTAAAAGTTGAAGTTTTACATTCAGATTATTGATATTTATGCTTCCTTTTAGTAGTTTCGTTTTTCTTTCAACAACACCTGTAATCCAAGAAATAAGACTTAAACTTAGTTTGTTATGGTGGGGCACAGTGAATTGGGGCACAGTGAATCGAGGAATAGTAATTAGGTTGATACACTATGCCCTATTAAAGATCTTCAAGATTAAATTCATGCATTTTTAACAGACAAACTACATGAAAATGAATTTATTAGTTTTAAGTTATGAGTAATAATATTTGAATAAATTTTTTAATAATTTTATAAGTTTTATTATCAATAATTTTTTTTTTTTCTTTTCAATTTTCAAAATGTCTGATTTTTAAATTTTATACTAATCTAATTAATAAAAGTATGCCAAAACTATAGCGTACAGTGTCTTTAATCCCTCAGTCTCATAGTTGTTTGGCTATGCCATATTCACTATCATTAAATTACATCTGTGTTCATTGATTCATTGTGCCCCAATACTGGGGTACAGTGTATAACATAACACAACTCACTTAAAATCTTTCTGTGAGCCATTAAATAAAAAATATTTGTGTTTTAGTGATTTATTATCATGAAGAACATATATCTCAATCCTTTCACCTTGAAAAAAAAAAAAATACCCATTTTAACTTTTGCTTAATTTAAAAAATAAAGAAAACTGATCCACTGTGCCCCAACTTCCCCTATTGCAATAATCTGAGTCTTTTAACAATAAAGCCCTATAATGTTTACCACTCTTTCATGCTATTAGCGTGAGAGCGACGAGTTTATAACATTTTCTTTTTAAATTTTAAAGTAAATTTAGGTTCATTAACAAGTCTCTAATGTTATGCAATAATTTATTATTTAGGGAATTTAAAATCTTATTTTTAATTAAGTTATAAGTTCGTCTGACAATCAAATTCTGTTCCTGATTCAAAAGTTTGGACCGAAAATTAATTTAACTTGTTTTTCGTAAATAAGTAATCAAATGACGCGGATTCATCGTTAAATTTTGTCGAAGAATAACGAAGAAAATTAAGTTTTTATATGTGACTTTAGTCTACAAGATCATTTGTATTTTTCAAACAATATTACGAAATTAATTTTTTTTCAAATTTAATTTGGTCCATTAACTATTGTTTTTCTTAATACATAAAAACATTCTTTAATGCAGTGGCTGAATTTTAAATTTTATAGTTTTTTATTTTTCTAAATTTGCCGTTACAAATAATTACTTTTTTTTTGTAAAGTATACAGTAAAAATATACAAAATATACTGTAAAAAAACCCGCAGTTTTCTTTAAATGAAAACAAAAAAGTAAAGCTTATTTGTTGTATTTTAGTATTTCAAAATAAAGCAAAAACTATCTGCATTCCTACTTTAAAATCGATGACGTACCTACCATCCTCGTTCAAAACAAATTGAATCTGTTTATCAGATTACTGAGCAACCCGACTTGTTTTTCCTTGATTTTAACTCAAATATCTAATTTTAATAAGGATAACTGCTTTATCAACTAAGTAATAAAAATTTGCAACTGTCTGGAGCTAAGCTTCATTCAGTGTTTGATTAAGGGGGAAAAAATCATTATCATTATATATATATATATCGTCGTAACGATGACGTAGAAGATAATATAGCGAAAATTTTAAACCAGTTCTTTGAATAATGGAACATCAGAGAACAGAGAATGATATTAAAAAATTTGATGGAAGAAAGCATTCCAAGAAGAATCTAAATTAGAACGGCAACATAGAGTATAAACTAATAGTTTTATGACCTTTGTACTTTTACCTGTAATTTGGTTGATGAAAAGAATAAATAAAAGTAAATAAATTAAGTGAAGGTGTCGGAGCAGAGAAAGTTTTTGTTTGAAATTGTTCAAGTTCTTTACGTCTATCACATTTTGGGTTAAAGAATTCCATAATCTTACAACACGGTTGGTGAAGAAGTTGCTTCTTTCAGCGCAGTTTCGGACAAGTTGTGCTTTTAGTTCTTTAGTGTGTCCACGCGGCCAAAAACAGTACTTCGAAGATTCCGTGTTTGGTTGAAGTTAAGGGACGTGAAAGTTAACTTTACCAATTTTGCTCATGATTTTATATTGTTCGATAAGGTCTTCCCTTTCTCGTCGTTCAGTTAGTGTTGTCAGTTTATCAGGTTAAGGCTTGATAGTTTTTGAGTATATAAAAGATGTGTTGGGGAGCCAATATGTTTTGTGGCTTGGTGTTGAACATGCTCGAGTTTGGCAATGTCTTGAGCTAAAAACGATGACCAGGCCTGTATTGCAAATTCTAGGTGTGGGCGAACGTACAAAATATACAGTGTGTTCCATAATTCAGAACTTCAACCTCGAAAAGCCTTCTTGAGCCTGTCAAGCATTCCGTTGCCAGCTGATGCAGCCGCACAGGCTTGTTTTTTAACTTTTAAATCTCTAATCATAAAAACGTCTAGACCTCGTTTAGATGACGTGCATGATAGCTGGTGCAGTTGGCAATTCAGATTTTTCTTTATATAAATTGCAGTCAATTTTTTATTGCTGCGCCCAGTGTGTATGACTTTCGACATTAAATAACATGAGCCATGTGTGCGATCTTTTCACTGCTGATATCAATTCGTTGATATCAGCTTAGAGTTTTATGATATCATGGTTTAATTCTATAATTCCAATTATTTTACAGTCATCAGCATACATTTTAAAGTAGTGTTGTATTTTGTCTGGCAAATCGTAAAGGTAGATAACGCGTAAACTTTGTACAATCAAAACCTTTGAATTTTGAATTTTAAAACCTGTCGACTTAAATTTAGTGTAAGAAAATAAAAATTGAAAGTTACTAATTTGTTACCCTCACATTTGGGGTAGGGATGGTAAATGTTTTAGGGTATTTTTTTTTCCAGGCTCCCATCACCACAAAATTTATTTCTTAATCAACGAATAAATCATTGCTTAACCACTGCTCGGGATATACGTATATTACACAGTGGCGTAGCACAATATTTTTTGCCAGTAGACATACTGGTTCAGGTGCCCAATTTTTGTTTCTCTGGAACAATATTTTTACTAAAAAAACCAAATCTGTCCCTCACATCTACTTCATCAATGAAAACGACTTCAATAGCGGAGTCAAAAGAATGCAGCTAGAAACAAAAAAATTGGAAAAAGACCTTGGAATCCAACTATCTGTTGATATATATATATATATATATATATATATATATATATATATATATATATATATATATATATATATATATATATATATATATATATATATATATGTATATATATATATATATATATATATATATATATATATATATATATATATATATATATATATATATATATATATATATATATATATATATATATATATATATGTATATATATATATATATATATATATATATATATATATATATATACATACATAAATAAGTATATATATTTATATAAATAAGTGTATATATACACATACATTGCATACACATATACACCAAAAAAAAAAAATCGATAAAATGTAATTTGTGATAATGGTTATTGTCAATAAATTTTTAATCTTTTTTTAATGATTAAAAGGAATAGTTAGCTTGGTTTTTATTTATAATTGATATATCTGATCTATTTTAAAAGAAAGGCTTATAATAAAATAAATCAAAATCTGTATTTAATAGAAAATGTTTTGAATCAGTTTTGAGCTGATGTAGAGAAGTTTTCTTTTCAGAAACAATGTTTGGGAATCTTTTCCACAAAAGTGGTCCGCTATTCTGAATTGAATAAAAATTCTGTTTAGAATGATATTTTGATATAACCAAGTGGTTTACCAAAAATCTTGTAGCATATTTATGGTGTATTTCTTTAAAATAACTTTCAAAGATTTTTGGGGACAGTCGATATTTTGTTTTATACATAAACTGTAAAACAAGATAGATATTAAGTTTGAAAATATTCGAGGCACCAATTATACATATTTTTATCAAAGTTCACACCTATCAAAATCAAGTTTATTTTGTTTTAAATATAGAAAGAAAACAGCTTTTTCATGTAACTTACTTTTAAATGTAAAAGTAAATTACTTTTTGATGTAATCTTCTTTTACATAACTTACTTTTGAAAGTAAAAAAACTTACATTATAAAGTTTAAGTCGCTTCAAAAAAATTAATTAATTAAACGTCTAAAAAATACTTATGTAATTTACTTTTTGATCTAAAAATTAACTTACTCATGTAAGTGAAAAAAAAGTAACTAAAAGAGACATCCCTACTGCTGATTTGCGTCCTGAAGACCTGGATGCACGGCATTCCGTTTTGAGCATTTTTTAAAATAGGTTTAATTTCATTTCCTGAATACACAGCATTCCATTTTGAGCAGTTTTTTTAAATAGGTTTATTTTTATAAAACCAACCTTTCGCGTTAAAAATGATATCTATCTTTTTGGTCAAAACTTTACTTTTTAACCTTATTAAAATCTTCAAGTAAAAATAAAAAACCATGCATTTGCGCATGTGCATTTTGTTTATAAAAAAGTTGTTAAATTGCGGATAGTACATTACTAATATACTATCCGCAATTTGCAATCTTTCGCAATCCACAGTATAATGTCATTATTTTACTTGTGAGAGTTTTTACTGCCAACTGCACGAGTCGGACATATAGCAGAAATCTAGGATATTTTAAAGGAATCAAAACTTTGAGTAAACAGGCGTGTGTTGTGAGAACCACGGTTTCTACAGCGCTGGGGTCTATAATGGGTAAAATAAAGGCCAAAATCAGCTAATATACCTCTTAGCTTTTAACATTCTTTAATAAATTTATACCAAAAATTTGCACGTTTAACATTTTTCTACACAGCAACTTTCTACAGTGAAAAAAAAAAAAAAAAAAAGGAATATTATTGTAGTCGTAGCTGTACATACAGCGAGCAGTAAAATACGTACGAAGTATACATACAGGAAGCAGATAAAACACCACACTGTAAGCAATCAGTTTTATAGATATTTGATTTCAATTTTTTGGAACGACCAGTCGTTCCAAAATTTTGTTGAATTATTATTATGACTGATTTTCTTGGAAGAGTTAAGGAATATATTCAAAAATGTTCCAGTTTAGAAGATATCTTATTTTAAAATGGTGACCACTTGATAAAGTGTTAACAAATTTTGGAAAAATGTATATCGTTAACTATGTGAATCGAAATGTTTTAATTTAGAAAGCATCGTAAGTGCTTATGTGGTGGAGGGTTGAAGATGCCTCAAGCTAGAAACCCATTTTGTTGCTTTGCGTCGAACAGATCAACATCCAAGGCTATATATCAGCGTTTTAATTAAGGGGCCCATATTTAAGGTGCAGCCAGACATTAAGTAGTATGAAACTTGTATTTTTATCAACTAAATTGAATATTTTGTTTATAATACAAAGAATTTGTATGGATATTAAAACAATTTTTTAAGAAAATGCTCTACTTGAGTAAAAATGACTCCTAAATGTTTTGTAGAGCTTCTTAGTCATTGATTTATACTACCTTGCAAAAAGTAAATGCAACTAGTATTGGTTTAACCGTAATTGATGAAACAGCATTTTAAAATGTAGCGTAGACGATCCTGCATAATGTTCAAACATTTCATTTAGAGTAACTAAATGCAACATTTTGTTTAATAACAGATCAAGTCCATGTTATTGTTTATTCTAACTAATTCTGTTACTTAATAAGTAAACACAAATTAAATTAGTATATAAGTAACTATTATAATTGAACATTACATTGTAATCGATGGAAAACGAGATTTTTTTGCTTCAACATTATCATGACGAAGACTTTTTTTTTTTCCTTCTTGTTATACCCCTTTGCCAACTCCAAAACGCAAACTTTAGCGATGCAGCGGCGAGAAATAAGTTGACGGTACTAAGAATGTGGCGGGTTTCAAGCCTCTGCTTCTTGCTTACAAAACGAGTTCTTTTATTAATACCGTACTTTTTAAATAAATGGGGACGGGATGATGATGGGTAAAACTTGATGAAAATAAATTTTATACCCTGTTGTGACGTGCCAGTCATTTTAATTTTATATCTAAACTTCGTATAAAAAAGTTAAACACAATAAAAAAAAGAAAAAAAATAGTTTGCAACGTTTAGATATTAGAAAAGAGATGTTCAGGCGTTTCACTTTAAACCTAACATATTTACAAAAAGTTAAATAAAAATATTACCCATATACCCCTTGATTATGCTACACATATAAACAAAGCAAAAATGTTAAATTACTAAACGTCTTGCGTCACAATTTATTATCCTAGTGTTGTTCAACAACTAAGAAATTAAATGTTAAATCCCAACAACTAACTCATTCCTCTATTATATAATTCGGATGCACAACAATATAAGGATTTGATTCTTCGTCATCTGCAGGCTTAAAATCTTCTTCTGTTATTCTGGGATCTTTCAATGCCAATAAAACTCCATCCTAATTTAAAAAAAAGTTTGAAACATTTTTAAACATATCGGTAAGAAATTAAATATACTGATAATAAAAATATGAATGCTTACATTATTTATAAGCCTGTCCAAAATTTTATTTATGAGAAATGTTTGTTCAATAAGCTCAGCTTCAGTATCAATCTCATCCTCTTTATCTTTCAAGTACCAGTTAACGACATCCGCACGACGTAAACCACCTTCCTCTGAAATATATATCTTATTAAATAGTTAATGAGAAACATGCATCAAAACACACATTTTAATATCATAATTGAACGTTTTTTTAATGTTAATTATATATTACTAGTTAAATAAAATATCAACTTTCAAATTTTTGAAATATGTATATTTGCATATTAAATTTGTATCAGGTCAGGTGCATGGTCTTCATGATCACCCTGCTACTGGTAACATGTAACCCAGTGCAACCTGCTCCATGTCCGCTGCCTTGAAGGATTCGCTTTCTTTTCGCTTTTTTTGTATAATTGGATTTCTTTTGGATTTTTTTGTATAAACCTTAGATACTGTTTTAGCTCACCTGTAATCTTCTTTATATGTATGTTTGTGTTCTGTCTAAACCTCCGGCGCGGTGTTGACTCACCCGTAAGTTGCTACCTGTATGTTTGTGTTCTGTCTGAACCTCTGGCGCGATATTGACTCACCCGCAAGTTCCTATTTGTGTGTTTGTATTCTATCTGCATGTATGTTTGATTTCTGTCTGAACCACTGGCGCGGTGTTGGTTCACCTGTACTTACAGGTGAACCAACACCTATATATTATACTATATGTATGTATGTTTGTTTTTTGTCTAAACCTCTTGCGCGGTGTTTACTTAACTGTAAGTTACTTTATATATGTATGTGTTCTGTTTAAATGTTTAAACCTGTTTTGATGCAGTGTGAGCTCTATAACTAATTAGACACTCCAACTATAAAACCTCTGCCCATCCTTATCTCTAGCATTTATTTAGATGTAATATTTTTCCCAATTCATTTCCAAAATATCATGCCCAATGTTTTAAAGTACTGTTTGTAGGAAGTAGCTTCTTTTAACTAGTCCTGGTCAGGTCAGGCTCAGGATTATCACAATCACTTTGCTACTAGTATTATGTAACTCGGTACTACCTGCTCCATGCCATGCTTCTTTTTTAGAGTGTTCCTTTTTAGGTCAGGTCAGGTTTTCCTGCTACTGGTAACATGTAACCCAGTACAACCTGCTCCATGTCCTGCTGCCTTGTAGGATACGCTTTTTTAGGCAAAGGCTAGGAGAAGTTAACTCTGAATTAAAACACCCCCTGCCTTGGGGCTCTTGGTTGAGTAAAGGCTAGAGATGGTGTCTCGATAAAAATACTCATCTTGGGCAGATGTTACATGCATCCAGCTGCTGTCTTGTAGAAGGCCTCCTAGGCAAAGACTTAAGGGGTAAACAGATTCTATCTGTTGACCAGCCTCGCACCCCTTCCTCATCTATTAGGCTGGCGCAGATGTATTTTTAATACATTGTTTCCAGTTTAGGATGTTGAACGCTGGATCTTCTTGACTCAATGCGTGGGTATTGCTTGTGTCTCTATTTTTATGACTGGGCAACTCATTCTATTATCTCCTAATGAGGGTACAGCTCTAAAACTCAGTTTTATGGTTCTGAGGCCGGCTGGTAGGCAGGTTTCCCGAACTCTGTGGTAGCTCTCAGAGAGGCTGATTCCATCAACAGCCGAAAAATATCAGAGTACTAACAGTGCCATGTTGCGCATGGATGGTGTCCCTGTTTGTACTTTTGGTGTGCATTGCAGAGGCCACATTTGGAGCCCTTTGTTACGGCTTAGGGTTTATTAATAGTAATGAGGCTATTGCTTAGTTGTTAAATAGTGTACTGAGTACTATCTATACTTGAGTCAAGTTCTTTATAAATTTAAAATGACTAAAGTACCTAAAACTAAAAAACACAAAAAACCATTGTCATCACCAAGTTCTCTAAACCTATCATTTACTAATATTCGTGGTCTTCGAAGTAACTTTTCTTCTGTTGAGTCTTATCTCTTGCAAAGTTCACCAGACCTACTTGCTCTTTGTGAGACTAATTTGAGTTCAGCTGTCCCATCTTGTGATCTTAGTGTTGATGGTTATCTTCCTTTAATTCGTAAAGACTCCAATAATCACATGCTTGGCCTGGGCATCTACATTCGTAAGAACTCACCCATTTGTCGTGAAACTAGGTTTGAATCTACAGACTATTCATTTATGTGCTTTCGTTTAGCACAACTTCACTCTATCGCCTTTCTCTTTGTTCTATATCGCTCTCCTTCATCCCAAGATTGCACTATTCTTGATGTTATTTCTGACCAAATTGACCAAGCCCTCTCTCTTTATCCATCAGCCAATATCTTCGTTGTTGGTGACTTTAATGCCCATCACACCGATTGGCTTGGCTCTAGTGTCAGTGACTCTGCTGGCGTTAAGGCCCTCAACTTTTGCCTTTCTCAATCTCTAACTCAAATAGTCAACTTTCCAACTCGGTTTCCAGACAACCCTAATCATTTACCTTCTCTACTCGACTTATGTCTTGTTTTGGATCCTAGTCAGTGCTCAATTTCTCCACATTCACCCTTAGGTACTTCTGATCACGGTTTGATCTCTCTAAAACTATTATCAAATTCTTCTACTTCATCAAAATCCCCCTATCATCGTACCACATACAACTACCTTAAAGCTGACTGGGACTCTTTCCGTGATTTTCTTCGTGATGGCCCTTGGGTAGAAATCTTTCGTCTTCCTGCTGACAAATGTGCTTCTTACATAACTTCGTGGATTCAGGCTGGCATGGAATCTTTTATTCCCTCTCGACGATTCCAGGTCAAGCCTCACTCTTCTCCTTGGTTTTCCTCACATTGCGCTGCAGCAATTTCTAATCGAAACCGTTACTTCCATATCTATCAGCAAAACAATTCTCCAGAAAACAGACATCTGTTCACTATCGCCAGAAACCATTGTAAAAAGGTTTTGTCTGACGCCAAAGCTCGCTATTCCCAGGTCATTAAATCTCGTATCTCATTACAAAAATTAGGCTCTCGAGACTTCTGGAGAATCTTTAACAGTCTCAATAATAAGGGCAAATCTGTTATTCCTTCTCTCTTGTATGGTTCAGACTTTGTCACCTCACCTAAAGACAAAGCTGAATTGTTTGCTAAGAACTTTTCATCAATATCATCTCTTGATTCCACTAGTTGCGTTTTACCTGACATAGCCGTCAAACAGGTTGATCCCTTGCTTGACATTCGCATCACTTCAGCTTCTGTATCTAAAGTAATTTCCTGCTTAGACTCTTCAACAGCTTGTGGTCCTGACAACATTCCTGTTGTAGTCTTGCAGAGGTGTTCTCCGGAGCTTTCATCCATACTTTCTAAACTATTTAACAAGTGCTTATCAGAGTCTTGTTTTCCATCATGCTGGAAAGCAGCATCTGTTATCCCTATTTTCAAAAATTCCGGAGAGCGATCTGATTCATCTAACTACCGTCCCATTAGTCTTCTTCCTGTCATAAGCAAGGTTTTTGAATCTTTAATCAACAAACACTTAATCTCTCATCTTGAATCAAATAACTTACTTTCTGATCATCAATATGGATTTCGGTCTTCTCGTTCTACAGCTGATGTGCTAACAGTAATAACCGATAGGTTTTACCGTGCATTAGATAGAGGTGGAGAGGTTAAGGCTATCGCACTTGACATTTCTAAAGCTTTTGATAAAGTTTGGCATGCTGGTCTTCTCCATAAGCTTTCTTCTTATGGTGTAGCTGGTAACGTCTTTAAGATTATTGAGTCCTTTCTTTCCAATCGTAGTATAAAAGTTGTCCTCGATGGACAACACTCTTCTTCACATCCTGTAACTTCAGGGGTTCCTCAAGGTTCAATCCTTGGCCCTATACTCTTTTTAATTTACATTAACGATCTTCCAGATATTCTCACATCTAAGGTTGCATTATTCGCTGACGACACTACCATTTACTCTTGTCATGATAAGAAGCCTACACTCTCTGATTGCTTGGAGGGGGTATCTGAGCTTGAAAAGGATCTCACTTCTGCTACAGCATGGGGCTCACAGTGGCTGGTGAACTTTAATTCAGATAAAACTCAATTTTATTCGGCCAATCGTTATCGTAATAATTTAGATCTTCCTATATTTATGAATGGTAATGTACTAGATGAGTCATCTACCATTCATCTTCTAGGATTAACTCTTACTTCTGATCTTTCTTTTAAACCGTATATCAAATCCATTGCAAAATTAGCATCTGCTAAGGTTGCATCTCTTTATCGAGCTCGACACTTTCTTACTCCAGATTCTATTCTCTATCTCTATAAATCTCAAATCCGTCCCTGTATGGAATACTGTTGCCACATCTGGGGCGGATCTTCTAATGATGCTCTTTCTCTTTTAGACAAGGTGCAAAAACGAATTGTAAACATAGTTGGACCTGCTCTGGCAGCCAATCTCCAACCTTTGTCACATCGTCGTAATGTTGCTTCTCTTTCTCTTTTCTACAAATACTATAATGGGCACTGCTCTAAAGAGCTAGCGTCCCTTGTACCATCTACTAAAATTCATTCTCGTGTTACTCGCCATTCAATTAAGTCTCATCCTTTTTCTGTGACTGTTCCTAAGTGCTTTAAAAACTCTTATTCTTCTAGTTTTTTTCCTCGAACATCAGTTCTTTGGAATTCGCTTCCTTCATCTTGCTTTCCTGATTCATATAATTTGCAATCTTTTAAGTCATCAGTCAATCGTTATCTTGCTCTACAGATTTAGTCTTTTCTCTTCCAGTAACTTCCAACTCTTATAGTGGTTGCTTGCAGCCTTGTTGGAAGTGAAGATGTTAAAAAAAAAAAAAAAAAAAAAAAAAAAAAAAAAAAGGCTAGGAGAAACAAACTCTGACTTAAAAATCCCCTGTGTTGAGGTTCTTGGTTAAGTAAGATGGTGTCTTGATATAAGTAATCATTATGGACAGGTGTTAATTGCATCTAGCTAAAATTATTCTGCCTTAAGGCTCTTGGTTGAGTAAAGACTAGATGGTGTCTCGATAAAAATACTCATCTTGGGCAGATGTTAACTGCATCCAGCTACTGTTTTGTAGGAGGCTTCCTAGGCAAAGAATTTATGGGTAAACAAAATAATTCTGTTGACTAGCCTCAAAACCCGTCTTTATCTG